AGTGGGTGTTGGTCACCCGTGTAGCTGAGTGGGTGTTGGTCACCCGTGTAGCTAAGTGGGTGTTGGTCACCCGTGTAACGAAGTTGTAGCTGAGTGGGTGTCCGTCACCCGTGTAGCTAAGTGGGTGTTGGTCACCCGTGTAACGAAGTAGGGTGTTAGTCATCCGTGTAACTACAAGTTGGCGAAAATAAAGAGTGTGCTACCCGTGAAGTCGTCTCCTGCCAAGTTACTACTTTACAGATGCACATGATAGAAAAGAAACGAAAATGCTCATGTTTATACCAGTGTTGGCTGACAATAAAGAGAGTACTGTTAACCGCTGGGGATATTAACACCCGGTGAAGTAAAATAGTGCCCGTCAGATAAGAACTCACAAACAAACAAACACCTCTGTGTGAGTGTGTGAGTCTGTGTCAGTGAGTGAGTCTGTGTGAGTGTGTGAGTCTGTGTGAGTGAGTCTGTGTGAGTGTGTGAGTCTGTGTGAGTGTGTGAGTCTGTGTCAGTGAGTGAGTCTGTGTGAGTGTGTGAGTCTGTGTGAGTGAGTCTGTGTGAGTCTGTGTGAGTGAGTGAGTCTGTGTGAGTGTGTGAGTCTGTGTGAGTGAGTGAGTCTGTGTGAGTGTGTGAGTCTGTGTGAGTGAGTCTGTGTGAGTGTGTGAGTCTGTGTGAGTGAGTCTGTGTGAGTGTGTGAGTCTGTGTGAGTGAGTGAGTCTGTGTGAGTGTGTGAGTCTGTGTGAGTGAGTGAGTCTGTGCGAGTGTGTGAGTCTGTGTCAGTGTGTGAGTCTGTGTCAGTGTGTGAGTCTGTGTGAGTGTGTGAGTCTGTGTGAGTGAGTGAGTCTGTGTGAGTGTGTGAGTCTGTGTGAGTGTGTGAGTCTGTGTGAGTGTGTGAGTCTGTGTCAGTGTGTGAGTCTGTGTCAGTGAGTGAGTTTGTGTGAGTGTGTGAGTCTGTGTGAGTGAGTGAGTCTGTGTGAGTGTGTGAGTCTGTGTGAGTGAGTGAGTCTGTGTCAGTGAGTGAGTCTGTGTGAGTGTGTGAGTCTGTGTGAGTGAGTCTGTGTGAGTGTGTGAGTCTGTGTGAGTGAGTGAGTCTGTGTCAGTGAGTGAGTCTGTGTGAGTGTGTGAGTCTGTGTGAGTGAGTGAGTCTGTGTGAGTGAGTGAGTCTGTGTGAGTGTGTGAGTCTGTGTGAGTGAGTGAGTCTGTGTGAGTGTGCGAGTCTGTGTGAGTGAGTGAGTCTGTGTGAGTGTGTGAGTCTGTGTGAGTGAGTGAGTCTGTGTGAGTGTGTGAGTCTGTGTGAGTGAGTGAGTCTGTGTGAGTGTGTGAGTCTGTGTGAGTGTGTGAGTCTGTGTGAGTGAGTGAGTCTGTGTGAGTGTGTGAGTCTGTGTGAGTGAGTCTGTGTGAGTGAGTGAGTCTGTGTGAGTGAGTGAGTCTGTGTGAGTGAGTCTGTGTGAGTGAGTGAGTCTGTGTGAGTGTGTGAGTCTGTGTGAGTGAATGAGTCTGTGTGAGTGTGTGAGTCTGTGTGAGTGAGTCTGTGTGAGTGTGAGTCTGTGTCAGTGAGTGAGTCTGTGTGAGTGTGTGAGTCTGTGTGAGTGAGTGAGTCTGTGTGAGTGTGTGAGTCTGTGTGTGAGTGTGTGTGAGTCTGTGTGAGTGAGTCTGTGTGAGTGTGTGAGTCTGTGTGAGTGTGTGAGTCTGTGTGAGCGAGTGAGTCTGTGTGAGTGAGTGAGTCTGTGTGAGTGTGTGAGTCTGTGTGAGTGAGTCTGTGTGAGTGTGTGAGTCTGTGTGAGTGTGTGAGTCTGTGTGAGTGAGTCTGTGTGAGTGTGTGAGTCTGTGTGAGTCTGTGTGAGTGAGTGAGTCTGTGTCAGTGAGTGAGTCTGTGTGAGTGTGTGAGTCTGTGTGAGTGAGTGAGTCTGTGTGAGTGAGTGAGTCTGTGTGAGTGTGTGAGTCTGTGTGTATGTGCACGTGTGGATCACCACACAAATGTTGTGAAACTCCCCGTGGTCGCTAAGGTCGCCATCTCCTGTCCTATCCAGGGTCTGGAAGCGCAGCAAGCGGAGACATTTCCATCTCGAGGGGATTTAATGTTTCCCCCTCGCACGCGTTGGTTCTCTCCCCTCACATGCATACTCGCTCTTGAATGGAACTGGGCAAACATATGCCATGCAATGGGGCCCATTGCCTCAAACATCGCCCATGATATATTTTCCTCTTAAGGCAGCCGTGGTATTAACGAATGTGTTCAGTGAGTTTTATTTGTGCACCACTGCCAATGCGGTATCGACAAATTATCCCAATGTAGGACCACAGAGCTTGGGGATATTGTTGGTCGCGCCGGTTTCTGGCTGGCTGCAACACCAATGCACAACATACAGCACTAACATACAACATGTATGTTGAACTTCTATCGCACCGTACGTAGCCTAGCCAACCGCGATAATCGGAGGTGCTGGCTGCTGGTGAAGGACAACAAACTAAGCACAAAAAGCAGTTCTAAAGAAATGGGTTGTCAAAGACATTTAAAAGTGCAGAGCTCCAATGGCTTCCAAATATCGGAAGGAAGAGCGATGGCCGCAGAAGCGCGTCTGAAAGCGGCACGCGATGAGGTGCCCGCACCCCTCCTGACCCCCCTCGGACCCCCTCGGCGAAGACAGCGCAGAGTGCCGCAGCTGCCTCGCCCGCACTGTGGCACTGCAGTTGTACCACGTGGCCACACGGCGGCGGTGGAGATTACTGATCGGGCGTCCGTGTTGGTGAGCTCATTGAGACGAGCAGGGGTCCCCAACCCCCGGGCCGCTGACCAGTACCGGCCCGTGGCCTGTTAGGAACCGAGCCGCACAGCAGCAAGAGGTGAGCGCCTCTTTCCCGCACTGCGCACTTGTCTCAGTCAGCTTCTTTGAAAAGGGAGAAAGACCCAATCATGACCCCCCCCCCGTCCGTGAAAAAATTGTCTTCCATGACACCGGTCCCTGGTGCCAAAAAGGTTGGGGAGCACTGATTTAGAGGACGTCCATGTTGGTTAGGTTATTTAGAGGACGTCCATGTTGGTTAGGTTATTTAGAGGACGTCCATGTTGGTTAGGTTATTTAGAGGACGTCCATGTTGGTTAGGTTATTTAGAGGACGTCCATGTTGGTTAGGTTATTGAGAGGACGTCCATGTTGGTTAGGTTATTGAGAGGACGTCCATGTTGGTTAGGTTATTTAGAGGACGTCCATGTTGGTTAGGTTATTTAGAGGACGTCCTTGAATTACGTCACGCACCTAGGGGGGGGGGGGGGAGTCAGACATTTGTGACGATGTGTGACGAGGGGGGGGGGTTGAGAAATGAGACGTCACATCAAAATGCGTAACTTTAAATAAATATAGTCAACACGTTCTACTTAATTAAATATACTTTTAATAAATGTTTTATCCTACAACATCATAGAGCAGCGGCACATTAAATACGCACTACAATGACAATACTTTAAAGCGATTTGAAGCGTGTTTTATTTTTTGTGGGGGGATGGGGGGCAGAGCTTTGTGACGTCATATTTGAGCGGGGGGGTCTGACTTTTCGTGACGCCGTGTGACGAGGGAGGGTGGGGTCAAAAGTCGTCCAAAATCGCGTGACGTCATTTATGGACAGCCCCTTAGGTCATTTAGCTCATGAGGTTTTGGTCTCATTGCCACCTCCACCATGAGCAGAGGCCGCGGGTAGAGGCCACGCACCGACACTCGGGGCAGTCGTCCCAACTGTTGAAGTGGCGAGCTGCCGGCTTGGATAGGAAGGCCATTGTCCGAAGCGTCGCCTGTATGTGTTCTTCTTTAAAGGCCGCCGGGTTATTAACGAATGTGTTGATTTTGTTTAATTCGGGATTGTGTTCGTGCGCCACTGCCATCGCAGCCAGAGATTCACCCAGGAGAGGGTGCCGTGTATCCGTGCACTCCAGTGACATCCGCAGGGCCAGGCTCGAGCCAGTGCGTGACAGAGTTATTTGCTGAACTTGATCCATGTCTATCAGAGTGGGTCCCTGCCAAGAGGACCTGGCAATTCATCAGTGTTGGTTCAAGCAAGCCTGACTGCTGATTAGTCACCAAGTGTCCAATCCTCACCAGGATGCTGCTTGTGTTGAATCAATGATGCTGCTGAGATCTACTCTCAGAAGGCTGACGGGATGAGTAGAACCACTCGCATTGTTTATGTGGAGATACGGCTATGAGGAGGCAGTTATTGAGAGATGTCAACTACCTCGCCTGGTATACAGGGAGACGTGGGTTCGATCCCGACCCCGACACCTGTTTATTTGGAGTTTGCGTGTTTTCTCCGTGGTCGCGTAGATTCTTCTACGGCTCCTCTGGTTTTCCCCTCCACATTGAGAAACATACGTTTCTAGTATTTGACATATATTTTCAGATGATGAGCCACTTCATTGAGATATTATTTGTGACCAGGTAGTTTCTGAAAAAGAGCTATTGGACCAGTGGGCCTTACCTGGTAAATAAAAAGTTTAGTTCGGGCCACCTCCCGCACCACGCTTGTGAGCACAGGGACACCGCGTGCTCACCTCCAGACCGCATCACCAGCTTATACCTCGAGCTCACACCTTGAGCTCACGCCTTGAGCTCGAACTTTCAATTCACACCTCCGGCTCATCACCTTCTGCTGAGCTCCACCAAGCACGCTCGGCTCAGGTTCTTTAATCACGAATACAGCAGCCGCGTTGTACAGACTCCACCAATATTCAGGGACATCACCACTGCTCAAGGACATCTCCACCACTCACAGCAGGGGCAACGGACACCACCGTTGACATTTCACAGATGTGATTGAGATGGTCAGCTGTGATTTCAGGTGCATTTTGATGACTCCATGAGAACCGTTCTTGATCTGCTGAAGTAGCAGCGATAATCCTCGTGCCACTTCTCTATTTCGTCCCAGAGCACCCTGCACCGACCGGGTCGTGACAGTGACAGCAGCAGTAGCGACATCGTGGCGCGTCACTGACGCGGCTAAACACACATGAGCGGAGATGTAGTGGCGGCTGCAGGCAAAGCGCATCCCTCACATGAACAATAAATCAAGCTACACTCTAGCCCACAGATATGTCAAAGACAAAGATCCCCCGTAAAGATTTAACAGACTGGCATGCGAGGTAGCCTCAGCTAAATGAGTACCAGGCACTAATTTGAGACTGAGTCGATCACTGGTGTTGGCCATGAGCGGAAATTTAACTCCGGTCGCCGGCTTCGTAGGGCAGCACGCTAACATGCAAAGGGTGCAGCGATGTTGTAATGTTATTTATTTTGTATTATTTCTTATTTGGGGTGGTGGTGTTGGTAGGGGTCAAGGTGTTTATAGAGTTGGCGTTTGTAGGATAGGTAACGTTGATAGGACTGTTGTTGGGAAGAGTGATGGTGTCGGTTGGGGTGGTCGTATTGGTAGGAGTCATTGTGTTGGTAGGATTGGTGCTGGTAGGGTTGGTGTTGGTAGGGGTAGTAGTAAGAATAATGGTGTTGGTAGGGTTGGTGTTGATAGGGTTGGCGTTGGTAGGGTTGGTTTTGGTAGGAGTGGTGGTGTTCGTCGGAGTAGTTGCGTTTGGTCAGGGTAGCGGTGTTGGGAGGGGTGGTAGTGTTGGTAGGTGTGCGGATTCTAAAGGTGGTGGAGTTGGTAGGAGTGGTGGAGCAGGCATTGATCCGGGCCATGAAGAGTGATCTCTTTTCCCTCATGATCATGAGGCTGGACACATACTCAGCTGGGGTGATGTGGCTGGGAGTGGTAGTGAGGGTAGAGGAGGTAATGTTGGTAGGCGTGGGACTGGTCGAGGTGGTGGAGTTGGTAGGAGCGGGGGAGTTGGTGGTTGAGCTGGTAGGGATAATTGAGCTTATTGTAGTGCAGCGGGCATTGGTGCGGGCCATGATCATGAGGTGACACCACTCACGCTCAGCTGGGGTAATGGTGTCGGCCCTGGTGGTGGTGAAGGTGGAGAAGATGTTGTTGGTAGGGTTTGTAGGGTTGGAAGAGGTGGTGGTGTTAGTCAGGATAGCATTGGTAGAGGTGGTGGTATTTGAAAGTGTGATGGTGTTAGTCGAGATAGCAATGTTGGTCGGGGTGGGGTTTGTCATGGTGGTGTTGGTAGGAGTGGTGCTGTTGGTAGGAGTGCTGGTGTTGGTAGGAGTGGTGCTGTTGGTGGGTGCGCTGTTAAGTGTTGGTGAGCTATTCATCATGGAGCAGCCATCCAGCCGAGTCTTGAGGGATCTGTGGGTCCTCTTGATTTTCATGGGGTGGCGCTTGCCCCGAGCCAATTTCCACATGGATCCTCTCATGTGGCGGCTTCGGTAAATTCGTCCACGTTGCGATGACTTCTGTTTAAAACCGGAAACAAAATCAGTATGAGAGGCAAGAGATTGCAGTCTCCTTCTTCCCCTGTTGGTCACATCCACTCAAATATTTTTTTTCACTTGCCATCTGCCACACCACCACCATTGATTGAACACGGGTGTTGTACTTGCCTTTCAGTCGCAAATATCGGACAACTATTTGTAATCCACAGCATGAACAATGTGTATGCTTGTAATAAATGTGTGCGACTTTGTCGAGGGTGTGAGTGTGATTTTTTATTGTTTGTTCTTGTAACGTTCTAACCTGCCTCTCCTGGATATCTGTGAAAAATAGCTTAATAGCTCATCGGATTCCTCCAGTATAAATATTCTGATTCTGATTTGTGTCATCTATGCATGTGAGATTATGACATTTGCCTGAGTGATCTATATCCACGATGCCTCTCTGGGTGTGGTGTCTCTGTGTGTGTCTGTTGTGGTGTCCTGCTGATTCTCTATGTGACAGTGAAGCCAGCACACTCTCTCTTACCAATTGATTCTTCCGCCAGACTCTTAGGCTGGTAATGGTGATCCCCGTGCTCTCCACGTGGTAAGTGATGGCCACCGGCCCACTGTGCAGCATCTTCATCAAGGTCGTCCACCTTGAGGGAGACGGGTATTCTCCATCTTGCGGAACCGTCATCCAACAGCCTAAAGAAGAAGCTGCTTGAGGTACCATCTCGGCCAAGTTCGACCGAGCCTTTTGTTTCGGGAGGTTGGTGGTGTGGACGGCCATTGCTGGCATGGCAGGAGGTCGCGGACGCCACTGTTGAAAACATTGCACAAGTATTTGTAATGTACAGCACGACAACAAGTATCTTTCCCTCTCTTTAGTTCAGCCTTGACTAACAGCTGGATTCTCGGCAATAAACAAAAGTCATTGGTCACGTGCCATGGCCCTGCGTAGTTTGATCCTCTGGTTTTTCCCTCCACATTTAGAAACATTTATTTCGATAATTTAGATTATTTTGCTGCTATGAATGTCCAAATGATGTCACTTTGTTGATCTATCATTTGTGACCAGGTTCCGTCTGAAAAATAAGTTAGTACCTCAGTGGGCTTTGTATGATGGGGGTGGTTTAGTTTTATTTGTTTGTTTTTGGGTGATTTGTTAACCTTTCATGTACTTTGCACTATTATCATGTTTTTGTAGTATTTGTTATTGTAATGTTCTTACCAGCCCCGACTGGACATCTGTGAAAAAGAGCTTCATAGCTCATCGGATTCCTCAACCATAAATAAATAGTATTATTCTGACTCTACTGGCTGGGGAAATAGTTCTGTCCGCACCAGGGCAACTCACCAACGCCGCACAAGGACAGCTGAGTCCACATGTCCCAAATGCCACGCTGCCAGTAACAAAAAACACCCTTAAAGTTGCAGTGGATAATATTTAAGCATAATTAATTGAGCAAGGTGTTTGCGACTTTGTCTAGGATGTGTGAGTGGATGTCATATATACTTGTGTGTGTGGTGTATGTGTAGGGGTGTTACGGGAGGGCGAACAAACACACGAGGGGTGGTTATGCCCGCACGCGGAAGGATGCTTACATCCACGTCCGCATCGGTTAGCCCTGGGGGGCTGTAACGGCGCTGTGATCTCCCACGGCCCCACCCCTCGTGGGGGAGTTGCTATATAAGGCAGTGAGCCGGTGGGCACGGGGTTCAGTATTCAGCTTAACTAGTGAAGAGTGAAGACCGGCTAGATAGGCTCTGGGACTCCCCTGGATCGCTGTCCTTCTAAGGACCGACCAGGGCAAGCCAGTGGCGTGGCCCCGAGAGCCCAGAGCCGATGCTCTGGTAAGAGCCGGTCTGGTGACTAAGGGTGCCGTGATCCTAGCTTGGCCAGAGCTGGATCAGCTAGCCTCCCCTAGCTCTCGAGTGGAGGACCTGGGAGTAGGCTAGCCGGGCTAGAGTTAATGGGGTCTCCCTGTTAGACAGGTGAAGGGGCCGTTACCCCTTCGAGTGTTGTATACATTGGCCTGTGCTGAGTGAAACATTATAATAAATAAGTGTGCCTCCGACTACGTCGTCTACGTCTCATTGAACCTACTACATATGCGAGTGAGATTCTTATATCTACGCGAGTGATCTGTATGCGTGATACATCTCTGCGTGTGGTGGCTCTGCGTGTGGTGTCTGTTGCGGTGCCATGCTATGGTCTGTGTAATCGTGAAGCTGGCACTCACCACTGCATTCTTCAGCCACACTCCGAGGCTGAGGAGGGCGATCCCTGCACTCGCCACCTCGTAGGCGATGGCCACCGGCCTGCTGTGCAGCATCTCCATGAAGGTCTTCCACCCTAAGGGAGCTGGGTCGTCGTCTTCTCCTCCTCCTCCTTGGGGAACCTCCACGCCATGGCTGGGAGAGGAAGCGACTCGAGGCTCCCTCTTGGCTTCGTGATCTGCGAGCCGGTCGCTGATGTGGACAGCCACGGTCGCTTTGGCGAGAGGTAGAGGCTGCCCGGCCTGTGGCGGTTGGACCTCCCAGGCTCCCCCCAGGTTAACCAGCCAGTTCGGGGAGAAATTCTTCTCCTCCGTGGGCCCAGACGTGAGGAACGCGTAGCTCGTCACGAGCAGCGCCACGAGGGTGCGTGAGGTACTGCGCAGCCCATGAGCCTCCATGGTGACTGCTCCGGGAGAGGCTCCAGGAGGCTTCGTGCAGAGAGGCGCTCCTCAGCACGCAGCTCGCAGCGTGGCTCCAGCGGCACACTGGGCGGAAGCGGATATGACGTCACGGCTCGAGGACGGATGTATGTTGTGTCTCATCTGTGTGTCTGTATGTCTGTGTGTGTGTGTGCAGTACCGATCCAGTTCCTGACAAAGGAGTGGCAGCCTCTCCTCCGCAGTGAGCGTACGAACATTCCACGTGGCCATCCATAGTGGCTTTCGTTGTTTTTGGAGGAGCCCCGAGGGTGAAGATTTAATCTCCTGGCTCCGCCAATTGGGGTTTGGCCAGGAGATGTTATAGACGCCTGTCCCCCCGGGGCCTCCGGCACAAGCTTATTAGTTACATATTTATGTTTAATTCGTAGTTTCGTGGTAATAAATTGAAGGTGGAGGGGTTACCAGCCCCTCGCACCCGTCCAGAGCCCCCGTTTAGCCACTGTGGTGGTCACAGACGCCATGAGGGGAGAGGCCCATGGGCATTGGCTCTCCCCCCACAGCACTGTCCACGACAGTGTTGCCCATCCGGCACCGCGAGGAGGTAGGGGGTTGTTTTGCCGGACAGTGATGGGGCAGTAGTGGAGAGAGTGGAGAGTTTCCCACACCTGGGCAGTATGCTTATGACCGGCTCCAGTGTAACAGCAGAGGTTTCACTCCGAATCAGTCAAGTGGCAATATCTTTTCATCGGTTGCGTAATGCTGTGTGGAAGCTACCTGGTCTGTCGCTCCGCACGAAGCTTCAGGTTTTCTCGGCCACAGTCATTCCCTCCCTTCTCTACGCTTGCGAAACGTGGACCCCCCTAATGGAGCATCTTTGCTGGTTGGAAACATTTAGGCTGGACTGCCTACGATCCATCCTGGGTTTAACCAGGCTGGATTGTGTGAGGAGCTCACAAATCCTTGAAAGATCTGGGTAAAGTCCCATTGGTGAGCTCCTCCGGCAGGCAAGGCTGCGTTGGCTGGGTCATGTAGCCCGCATGCCCAGCCACCGCATGCCTAAACAGCTTTTGTTTGGCCGGATTGAGGGGGCTAAACGGGCACAGCACGGGCTAGAGAAGAGATAGGGTGATGTGGTACAGGAGGATGTGGAGCTGAGTGGACTTGCCGATGACTGGTACCAGCAGTGTCAAGATCGGCCTCTGTAGAGGAGGCTCGTGAAGGACGCTACTGGGCAGTTGAAGGCAGTCGCCCTCCAACAACAAAGGAGGGCGGAGGAGCGACGCTCACAACAACGAGCGGAGCACCGTGTGGCTAAAGCACAGCAAGTTAGTACAGTAGGGGGCACAGGTGGTGCATTAGCCAGTCATTTCGGTCATCTCAGTCAGTCAACCCGTGGCATCTGGGTCTGCCCCGTGACCTCCTGCCCGCGGGCGTTCGACACTTCACGTGGACTCAAGGTGCACATGGCCTGGCACAAGCGTCGTGGTGACGTCACCGCCACTTAGTGGCGAATGGCAGTTGTTGTTGTGTGTCTGCACCTGGTCTGTAGTGATTGAAAGGCATGGGCCAGATCAGTTCAATAACAACGGTAGGAGGCTGCTAGATTTTTGTGCAGCCAATGATCTTGTAATTACTAACACGCTGTTCCGGCATCGGCGCATTAACACAACATCACGGATGCATGCTGGATCCAAGCAAGAACATCTGCTGGACTACATAGTGACGGATCAGTGGATGCGAGCCCATGTCCTTGACACCAGGACCTACCGTGGAGCTGATCTGCCCTCTGACCATCGACTGACTAGTCATCTGTAAGATGCGCCTGCCATTCTTCCACTCCGGTGGTGGATGTACACCCAAGACCCCATTCCAACCTAAAGTGGCCTGGTCTCAGTTAGCTTATGAAAGTTGCAAGCGAGAATTTCATCAACGCTTGCGGCTGGGGTTGGCATCGTCCCCCACTCCTGATGTCGAGAGTAAATGGGCAAGGTTTAGGACTGTGACTCATGCAGCTGTAATGGCTGCTTTGGGAACGTGGTCCAGACCTCCCCAAAGACCCTGGATGACAGAGGAGGTGTTCAGGATGGTTGAGAAAAAGCGAAAGGCCCACTCTAATCGTCTACAGCATCCCACATCAGAGAATGAGGAGGCTTACCGCAGCCTTCGCTCGGAGGTTCGGAGAGCCGTGAGGCGCTGCAAGAATGGGTGGTGGTCACGGGTTGCTGAGGAGATAGGAGTCTGCCTCAGTGGCCCGCAAGAACAAATCGCTCTTTAATTTCATGACAAAAGTAACCTGCAGCACCACACCTATTACCATCATTAGGGGAAAAAATGGTGATCCAATCTCCGACCCCCAGGAACAAGTTTGCAGATTTTCTGAGCATTTCTGTGAGGTCCTAGGGTAGGGGAAATCCCTTACCCAGGAAAACAACGTGGGACAAAGTGGGGATGACCCTGTTGAGGCTGCGGTGCCTCAAATATTGGAAGTCACCCCCTGTGAGTGGCTGGCTGAGGTGCCATTGGTTGAGGAAGTACGGAAGGCGATCCAGAGTCTGAGACCAGGAAAGGCACCGGGCAGAGATGATCTCCCAAGCAAAATGCTGAGGGAGGGTGGCGTTTGTGCACAGACTGCCCTACATGACATCATGACAACAGTCTGGACCACTGGACGGGTTCCATAGGACTAGAAATATGCCCTGGTGGTCCCCCTCTTTAAGAAGGGGGACCGCACAGACTGTAACAACTACAGGGGCATCTCACTCCTCAGTATGCCGGGAAAGGTCCTGGCAAGGATTATTCAACATCGCCTTGCTAGGCACGCTGAGGAGAGGCTTGCGGAGCCCCAATGCGGTTTCAGGAAAGGGAGGTCTTTCACATATGCCATATTATCTGTCTGTCTGCTACAGCAGAGGTGTAGGGAATTCCAACAAGACCTACATCTCTGCTTTATTGATCTGGTCAAGGTCTATGATACCATCAGTAGGCCTGGGCTCTGGGTTGTTCTTCGTGCTTTCATAGTCCCTGACCCTCTGCTCACGATCATTAAGGACCTTCATGATGGTGAGTGGGCCCGGGTAAAACTACGTGGCTGGGAGTCAGAGCCATTCCCTATACACCTTGGGGTGCGACGGGGATGTCCTCTGGCTCCCACATTATTTAACATCTATTTTGACCACGTAGTTCGTGAAGCCTTCAATAGCTGTACCGGGGGAATTTCCATTTGGTACAGATATAATGGGAGACTGATTGATGCCCGGGGGCGGTCAAGGGATTGCTCCCTATTGGTCAACCACGTTATGTATGCCGATGATTTGGTAATTGCTGCTCATTCAGAGGAGGAGTTAGAGACGCTTCTGCTGAAACTGGAATGTGCCACTAAGAGGTGGGGCATTACCATTAGCCCCACCAAAATTAAGCACCTGCCTGGGTATTTTGTACCATCAGACACTCCACCCCCACAACTCTCAATCGGTGATGGGGCAGTTGTGGAGAGAGTGGAAAGTTTCCCATACCTGGGCAGTGTGCTCATGACCGGCTCCGGTTTGGCAGCGGAGGTCTCACTCCGAATCAGTCGAGCAGCAATATCTTTTCATCGGTTGCGTAACGCTGTGTGGAAGCTGCCTGGTCTGTCACTCCGCTCGAATTTTCAGGTCTTCTCGGCAACAGTCATTCCCTCCCTTCTCTACGCTTGCGAAACGTGGACCACCCTAATGGAGCATCTTCGCCGGTTAAAAACATTTAGGCTGGCCTGCCTACGATCCATCCTGGGTTTAACCAGGCTGGATTGTGTGAGGAGCTCACAAATCCTTGAAAGATCTGGGCAAAGTCCCATCGGTGAGCTCCTCCGGCAGTCAAGGCTGCGTTGGCTGGGTCATGTAGCCTGCATACCCAGCCACTGCATGCCTAAACAGCTTTTGTTCGGCCGGATCGAGGGGGCTAAACAGGCACAGCACGGGCTAGAGAAAAGATGGAGTGATGTGGTACAGGAGGACGTGGAGCTGAGTGGACTTGTCGATGACTGGTACCAGCGGTGTCAAGATCGGCCTCAGTGGAGGAGGCTCGTGAAGGACGCTACTGGGCAGTTGGAGGCAGTTGCCCTCCAACACCAACGAAGGACGGAGGAGCGACGCTCACAACAACGAGCGGAGTGCCGGGTGGCTAAAGCACAGCAAGTTGGCACAGTAGGGGGCACAGGTGGTGCATCAGGCAGCCATCTCAGTCATCTCAGTCAGTCGACCCGTGGCACCTGGGTCTGCCCCATGACCTCCTGCCAGCGGGCGTTCGACACTTCACGTGGCCTCAAGGTGCACATGGGCTGGCACAAGCGTCGTGGTGACGTCACCGCCACTTAGTGGCGAATGGCGGTTGTTGTGTGTCTGTGTGTGTCTGTGTGTTTGTGTGTGTCTGTGTGTGTGCGGTAGTGTAGTGATTAGCGCGCTTCGCTACGAACCTTGCCACCCAGGGTTCGATTCCCGCTCACGGCCACCAACACTGGTGTCACGTGCCGTGCCGGCCTTCATCGGTGCTGCTCGCAACGGCTACACGGGGAGGCCCAGGAGCGGCTGAGGTAATCGTCAGCAGTGTTGGTGGCCGTGAGCGGGAGTCGAACTTGGAGGGCAGCGTGGTGTTCACCGCAATAATACTGCCCGCTCCCCGACTGGTACACGTACAGTGCAGGGTGCACAGAACTCGCGGCGTCTCTCACACGGTCCGGGTCTCTGCGTGGAGAGCGGGAGACGAAGGCGAGGGTCACACAGGGTCTCAACACGAGTCACGTCATATCACAGACTCATCCTCACCGTTAACCAACATCATCAACACAAACCCACATCATTAACACGGACCCACATCATTAACAAGAAACTCACATCATCAACACGAGCTTACATCATAACCATTCACCCACAACACTGCACATCTGTGAGAAAAAGCTGTATAGCTCATCAGACTCCTCCAGTATAAGTATTCTGATTCTGACATGAACTCACATTGTCACCACTCACAACACACCACCACTATCAGTAACACCACTAACACCACCATTCCTCCTGCCAGTACACTACACAGACACACACACGTCCTCACCACTCACATCACCACTCACTCACAGGTTTTTTTTTCCGGTAAAGTCACGTAGGTAAAACATCAAAATTAATAAAAAATAAAACAAAAATCACGACGTTTCGGAGGCAACACAAGTCTCCGTCATCAGGTGGGACCGTCACAGCCGGATTAGCTGTGTAGAGGTGATACGCGCTGGAATTAGAGATCGTATGCCAGCGCGTAATGATTGGCTGTGTAGGTGGTGACGTGCGCTGACGGTGGAGGATCAGGGGTCAGCGCGGGGTCGTGGGTTACGGGGTACTGATTGGCTGTGGACCGGTGACGTGCTGAGAGGGAGTGATCGGGTGGCAGCGCGGTGTGATTGGTGGAGGAGTGTTAACACGCGCTGGGGAAAACGGATCGTAGAGAGAGTGCGTCGTGATTGGTTCATTAAGGAGCGATGCTCACGCTGAAGTACGCATCAGCTCCGCCCCTCGTGAGCAGGGGCTATAAAAGGGGATGCACACAGGCGTGAGGGCAGTGTGTAACCAGCGAAGAATGAAGACGGGGATGAAGACCTAGGGCCCTGCGGTACCTAGTCCCGCTGTCCTAACGGGACCGGGACTCTGTGTAACCCAGAGGCGAGTGTAGTGTGTGTAGCCATAGGCATAAGGTCTACACGAGCCGAATGCAGTGTGTGTAGCCAGGGACATAGGGTCTACACGAGTCGAGTGTATTGTGTAGCCAGGGACATAGGGTCTACACGAGTCGAGTGTATTGTGTAGCCAGAGGCGTAGGGTCTACACGAGTGAAGGGTATCGTGTGTAGCCAGAGGCCTAGAGTTTACACGAGAGTAGTGGAGTGTGAAGTCGGAAGAAAAGAGACTACACGTTGTATTTTGACACGTAAAGATTTAATAAAAAGTGTGTTCCCGTCAAGAAGTTCCTGCCGTCAATTCCCATACTTCAACTGGCGTCAGAAGTGAAACGGTCTTCCAAGCATGGATACAAGGAGGAACCGTCGGACCCACGGGATTGACCACGGGGACAACCTCGACGACGCGGGTCAACTGGCATCGGGGGGTGAGGAAGAGGAGTTGCCCACGGGGCAGGATCCGCCGACGGCGCCGGACGAGCCACGGGGGACTGACGCCGTGCTTCGCGAAGCGCACTCCCGTCTGGCGGAGCTGCTGCTCGCCGCCGCGTCCATCTTGGCGGAGATCAGCTCGTCGGGAGGAGCGGGAACGGCGGCCGACGTTCTGCAGGGTCGCCCTGCAGATTCCCGCCAAAACGATTTGGCGATGGC